CTCAAAACATTAGGACTCTTATGAAATGCGATATCAGACACGCTTCAATACCGAGTCACGTTGGAAAAGACTGCATCAAATACTAAGCGGAATGTATTGTCCAAGATATCACAAGTATTTGACCCGCTTGGTTTGGTGGCTCCAGTACTCATCGTCGGAAAAATTATCATGCAGCAAATATGGAAACAAGACGTGGAGTGGGATCAAGAGCTTCCAGCTAATTTGAAGATAGCTTGGAAAGATTATTACGCATCGCTTACCCGATTGAATGACCTTTCAATCCAAAGGAATGTCAATATTAATAACAAGTCGACGACTTTCGACATATATGGGTTTGGTGACGCCTCAGAAACCGCATACGGAGCATGCGTGTATGCAGTTAGTACAAACGAACAAGGTATTAGTCACTCGGAATTGATCTGTGCAAGAGCTAAGGTAGCACCCTTAAAGACTATATCCTTACCAAGACTGGAGCTAGAAGCAGCGCTTCTGTTGTCACAATTATATAACATAGTAAAAGGAGCATGTGCAGATAGAATCAATAAGGTTTTCTTATGGAGCGATAGTACCGTGACGCTTGGATGGATTAAGACACCACCGCATACTCTCAAGACATTTGTAGCGAACAGGATATCTAAGATCCAGGATCTTACAGAAGAAGCTATTTGGTTACATGTTGCATCGGAAGACAACCCAGCCGACCTATTATCGCGAGGAGTGACGGTGCAGCGTTTGATTCAAGATCGATTATGGTGGAACGGACCTTGCTGGCTAAGAGAAGGGAAACAGTACCCCCCTTTAATGGAGAATCTAGAAATCAATTTACCGGAATTGAGAGCATCATCTGTCACTTTGGTGTCGACCTTGACACATCAGATCTTGAGAAAATATTCTTCATATAGTAAATTGTGTAGAGTCATAGCATTTTGTTACAGGTTCGCTGAAAATTGCCGATCCAACAGGAAAACGACACTCTTCAGCCCAGCAGAAATGGAAAGAGCGAAAAAAGTTGTTATCCGATGGGTTCAACAAGAATCATTTCCCATGGAGATTCACTGTTTACAAGAGAATCGATTACTCCCACGAAAAAGTTCACTATGTGCTTTGGCGGCCTATCTCGACAACGAAGGATTGATTCGAGTGGGAGACAGATTACGACATGCAGAAATCCAGTCAGATCAGAAAAACCCCATCGTGTTACCCACAAGACATCATGTAACTAGTATCATTTTACGTGACAGACATGAACGGTTGCACTGTCCACCAGAGCAATTATTATACGACAACGATTCTGGCCATTCACTGTCCACCAAAGCAATTATTATACGACAACGATTCTGGCCCATCAGTGGAAGACGAGAAATCCGCAAAGTTATTAAAAGGTGCATCAAGTGCTATCGATTTAATCCAACTACAACGGAGGTCAAGATGGGAGATCTACCCGTTGAGAGAGTTCGCAGTTACAATCGACCCTTTACGGTGACTGGTATAGATTATGCAGGTCCTATTCAAATTCGAGAAAGCCGACGTCGAGGAAGAATCCATGTTAGTAAAGGATATATCGCAATATTTGTTTGTACCAGTACAAAAGCCGTACATCTGGAAATGGTGACCGATCTTTCTACAGAAGCATTTATGGCTTCCTTACGGCGATTCACTTCTCGAAGAGATTTATGCACTCAGATTTTTTCGGACAACGGCACCAATTTTGTTGAAGCAACTAGACATCTCAATGAATTGTATGAGTTCTTAGCTGAAAAACAAGATGCTATTAAGTCAGAATTAGAGGAACAACGAATAGAGTGGCATCTCATCCCACCTCGAGCGCTTCATTTTGGTGGATTACGGGAGGCTACGGTGAAGAGCAAAAGACATTTATACATATACTATAACAGAAGGCCGCATTTTGACATACGAAGAGTACAGCACTCTTTTATCTCAAATAGAAGCTGTACTTAATTCGCGACCGCTTGCACCCCTTTCGAGTGACCCGTCTGATTTTTCAGTTCTGACGCCAGCACATTTTTTGACGGGAGGATCACTTTTACAACCAGTACAACGCAATCATCTCGACACATCAGATAATTGTCTATCCAGATGGCAAACGGTTCAAAAGCTAAGCCAATTATTTTGGAACCGTTGGCAGATAGAATACCTCCAAGAGCTGCAAAAGCGAACCAAATGGACGACTTCTAGAGACCATGAAGAAGAATGACCTCGTCATTATACAAGAAGACCATGCCCCCCCCCCTTTCAATGGCGGAGAGGACGAGTACTGGAAGTACATCCAGGTTCTGACGGAGAAGTGAGAGTCGTCACTTTACGAACTTCCAACGGGATATTTAAGCGACCCGTTAGAAAGCTGTGCATACTCCCCATAGGAGATAATTAAAGACTGTAAACTTTATATTTAAAGTATTTTAAGCTTAATTATGTTTAGATTACGGTTGATTAGTTTAATACGATGACTAAGTTCATTTAAGTTTAGGCCATCTCATGTTTATATCTCATTTTTGTTGAACGTATTCTTCAAGGTGGCCGGGATGTTAAGGAAAGTAAAGAATTTGTTTAGACCGCGCAAATCTGTAATCCCGTAGGTAACTGGCGCTTGCAGCGTTTCGGCGTAATACACGCGTAGTAATACTAGTTTTTTTTCTTTTTCTTCTTCACGCCGGACATGTTTTTCTACAGACACTGTAACGGCTTCGCCGCTGTGATGCTTCCGCGTGTGCAAATAAATCTTTTTGAACCCTTAAGTTCATGTTATCATTAACAGATGCATTTATTTGAAAAGTATAAATTTACGAGGTACATATTTTTTTTTAATTCTACAATACATTTTTAATAAATCGGATAAAAATAAAAACATAAATAAATAATCAAAGATAAATAAGATAATAAGATAAATAAGATAAATAAGATAAATAAGATCTGTAAGATTAATAAGATAAAAAATGATAAGATAATAAGATAATAAAATAAAAAATGATAAGATAATAAGATTAATAAGATAAATAAGATAATTATAGATAAATAAATAATCAAAAGATATGAAAAAATTAAGCATCAGTAAATCCATAAAAATCAGATAATCGGTTTAAATTATTTTTAAACTATTTTTTTAATGGATTATGAAAGAAATGTACTAATTTTCAATCCACTTTCTAAGTATAAATCATTAATCAATCTAAGTGTGTGTGTGTGTGTGTGTGTGTGTGTGTGTGTGTGTGTGTGTGTGTGTGTGTGTGTGTGTGTGTGTGTGTGTGTG